GTTGCCTCTCCTCACCTAATCCCTTCAGCTGACTGCTCTTCTCTCTGGCTTCCTGGCTTTTAATCCCCTTTCTCCTGCTCTTCCCGCTTGCTACTTCAGGCGTCCCTGAGTTGTCTCTCCTCACCTGTAACCCTGGGGTTACAAATGTTAGTTGGTATTAATATCACTGTAAGTTGGAATTGACTCGACCACAATGAGTTTGGGTTTCTTTGGTTTTTATTTATTCTGTGAGTAGATGTGTAAACAGGCGGAGTAGAATAGCCATTGTTAAACTCAAAATAATTATTGCCTAAGACTTAGTGAATGTGAACTTATACTCATTTAGAGATTTTTGTGTGATTGTGCCTTAAGTAAGATTGAAGAAGTATGTACTAGTGGCAGAAAAGTCCTAAATAGACAATGATGAAATCATTCTAATATGGAAGTTTACCCCAATTTGAGCTAAAAAAATTCAAGTATTTTAGTAGTGTCTAGTATTCATTCAGAAAATATGTATTGAGAGATACTACTTGTATGCAAATTTAGGTACAGAAATTTTCATCACAGTATTAGTTATGATATAATAAAGCTAAAGTAACCTAAATGCCCAAGAATATGGGACTGTTTCATTGTGCAATAGGATCTTTTGAGGCCATTAAATCAATTATATGAATCTATATTAAATGACATGGGAAGCTTTTCTTTTATTAAGGAAAAAATATTTAAAAGTTTGCATTTTGGTAAAAAAAAAATTAATGTTTCTATATACATTAGGGTGCAAGGAGCTCTGGTGGTGCAATGGTTAAAGCATTCGGCTGCTAACCAAAAGGTTGAACCCATTAGCTGTTCCTCAGGAGGAAGATGAGGCAGTCTGCTCCTGTAAAGATTTATAACCTGGGAAACTCTGTGGGGCATTTCTACTCTCTCCTAGGGTTGCTGTGAATTGGAATTGACTTGATGGCAGTGGGTTTGGGTATATATAGTTGCATAAGTAAACACACCAATATGTTAACAGTGCTTATCTTTTGATGATAGAATTTCAAGTGATACGTTCCCCCCATATTTTGTTTTCTGATTTTTTTAATAATAAAGAGAAAGGAAATTTATGTCTTTATAGGGTTATTAGTCTATGATATTTTCAATAAATTATGAGTGTAGATCATCTGAAAGAGAAGAGGTATGAGTTAGTTAAAAATGATGGAAAGATTAGGACGGACCTTGTCAACAGTGTGTGTGTACAGGGAGCAGAGCTGTAGGGAACAACCCTTGGCTTTAGAGTAGAATCTCAACTCAAGACTAACCTCTTTTGCTTGAGCTCCTCTGAGCTTTTTTTCCTCATCTCTTTCTCATAGGAATGATTCAGATTAAGAAGAGAAAATCTGAATTGTGCTATGGAGGTGAAACATTTAGTGCCATATTGCAGTGATAGTGAAGAATGTGATTAAAAGTAGGTTATATCAGTTTGTAGTAGTTCAAAGTTGACACAATTTACAGTTCGGCAGCATTTTCTTTATTTATTGAATGGATATGTATTGAGGGTAAAGGTGCCAATCAGAATTTAGATACTAGATGTTAGCTACTAGGATATAGAGGTAAAAACACAGTCCTTGCCTAAGGGAAAGAGAGATAGTTGAAAGTGCAGTGCAAGAAGTGCTGTGATAGAGCTGTGATTAAGAATCTGGAAGAGCACAGAGTAAGGGTACCTCACTTAGAATAAGGTGACATTGGGACCATGGTGGGGAAGGATGTTCCAGATACAGGAAACTGCATGTGTAAAAATTCAATAAATGTATTGTATTCTGGGTTATGTTGACAATCCCAACCAAGAGCTTAAGTAACTCGCCAAGATTACTCATTGTGCAAGTTGAGACTTAAGCTAGGCCTTTGGGACACCAGAGTTCCATCTCAAGGAAGAAGGAAATGATCCTACTTTGTTTTGCAAAATGGTTAATACAGTAGATCACTTATGAGGATATAGAAATCAAACTTTTTAGATGATTATTTTGAATATTATTTGCTTGAGTATATTGCTCTTAAAATGATTTGTAATGATGACCATCTTGCTTTTGCAAAATATGTAATTGTTGCAAATGTTTTCAGATTTTAGCTTGTGTAGTCAGATGCATTGGTTAATACTGTATAATTTCAGTTCATTTTGTTCTTCAAATATTTCCATTTTAAAGCTATTTAATTTTTAAGGAATATTTAATTTTTCTATACAAGTATATTCTATATAATTTCTTATGTATACAACTCCAGATAGACAAATCTAAATATATTTAACTGAATGTTGGTTTTTTATTCTAGATATATTTTGTTAATATTTAATAGTGCTTAACTTCTAGATTTGTTTAAATGTTAGGTTGCCACTTATGAATTGTGTCCCCTTGAGCAAAGTACTTAACCTTTTTGTGCTTCATCTTTGCAGTTGAGATGATAGTACCAACCTCAAAGAGTCATAAAGATCAGCAAAGTGTGTGTCTGTGTCTGTGTGTGTATATGTATAGTACAGATTGAAACAGTGACTGGTACACATTAAGCTGTATATAAATGTTTACAGCCATACATATCTTTAGAAATATTCTGATTTAATCCTCATAACAAACCCTGAGATAGGAAATATTTTTAATCCATATTATAGTGAAGAAAACTAGCATTTAGAGAATTAACTTGGCAAAGGTTGCAGAGTAATTAAGCTGTCAGTCAAATCCAGAGCCAAAGTCTGAACTCCTGACTACTTATGCTGAAGTGCCTATAAAGTATTATAATGTATTAATAATCAAAGTGTCACCTACTCCCAACCAAAGAAAATAATATTCTGTGACTGTAAATACATAAAATTGTATAATTTGTGTTGTGTGATCATGTAAATATTCATGTATTTCAAAATATTATTTTCTGTTATAGTATATGATCTTCCCCAACGGCCTCATGATATTCAGCTCTTTTTTGGAAACATGCGTAAAATTATACTTTCAGTGATTGGAGAATTCAGAGATTCTGTTTCTACCGGAGAATTTCTTCAACCTTCTTCCAAAACTAGCTTGGAATCTAAGAGGTAAAAAGAAAATGAAGAGTCTTTCAGGAGATTTCAAGATTATTTCATATGTAGTAGAAATGATCTTTTCCTATACTTTATTTTTTTGTCTCCAAATGTTTATTTCACCTTCATATTTCAGTTTATTTAAGTTGAAATAATTTCAGACTTATGGAAAAGTTGAAGAAGTACAAAAAGCTTTCATATATCCTTCACTCAAATTCCCCAAATGTTAACATTTAACCTGTTATTTTAGGTAATGTATACCTATTATTCTAGATATATGTATCAGTAACTTTGTACTGAACCATTTAAGTTGCAATCAAATGACCCATTAGCCCTAAATATTCCTAAGTTAGAAAATGTTCATTTCCTAAAAACACAGGCACTCTCTTACATAGGCAAGGAAAGACCATCAAAATTAGAATGTTAATATTGATTAAATCCTACCATCTAGTCCACAGATTCCATTCAAATCTTATTGTTTGTCCAATAATGTCAAACAAGTAAAAAAAAAAAAAAAAACTTCCTCTTTCCCCTTTCCTCTGTGACTCTGTGATCCACAATCTAATGCAAGATCTCGTGTTGTGTTTTATTAGCCTGTTTCTGTGCTCTTTTTCAATGTGGAGTAGTTCCTTGGTGGTCTTTCCTTATCTTTCACGATTGAAATAACAATCAGATCCATAAAATGAAAGGTGATATCTAGAATTAAGCTTTACTGATAGTTTCAGGTGAGGTATGGAGAAGTCTGGGTCTGCCAGTGGCACATCTTTTTGCAATATTAACAGTAGCACTCTTGGCTCAAATTTAACACATTCATGAAGCCCTTCACTTACACAAGCAAGGGAGCTATTTCAGTCATGAAGGCTTTCCAGTTTATATTTTGATTATTAGAAAGTTCATGTGATATTTTCAAAAGAACTGTCCCATAAGTTCATGAATTTCAGGTTTCTTCACATAAACAGTTCTAGACACACCAGATGCATCGTATTAAAAGCACTCCAGAAAGATATTGGTATGTTAGCTGGAAAATCTGTCAAGGGTATTTGACCAAGTCATCTTTTCATTTTTTTACCCTGGGTATTCCCTGGGGAAATGTCAAAAATAACCAATAATCAACATTAAAAAAAAAATTTTTGCTGAGTTGTGGCAGGTGCCTCCATGATTTCTCTGAGGCAGTGAAGGTGCAATTTGCGAAAGGAGAATAGATCGAAGACCAGCTATTATCCTTTTCTTTCTAATGATCGTGATGTTTTAAAGACTAGGCAAGTTATTTTGTGAAATACTCTTCAATTTCAGTTTGCATATTCTGGTTTCACATCACTGGGAGAACTCTGCAGAAATGATGATGTTTTCTTAGTTTATCTGCTCAGATGGCATATTATGTTGGATTTTCCTGTTGATAATATTATTTGTTTCTCTTAGTTAAGACAATATCTGCTAGATCTCTTAATTGTAAAGTTTATTGATAAATATCTTCTAGGGAGATGTTAGGTGCTGATGAATCATTTCTGACTCATAGCGACCCTTTGTACAATAGAATGAAATACCTGCCCAGTTGTGTGCCATCCTCACAATCCTTGCTGTACTTGAGCCCATCGTTATAACCACTCTGTCAGTCCATCTTGTTGAAGGTCTTCCCCTTTTTCTTTTTTTTTTAAATTGTGGTTTGAGTGAAACTTTAGAGCAAATTGATTTTCCATACATATTTTGTCTTGTGACATTGACTATAATTCCCCACTTCCTCTCTTCCCAATCCCTCCCCGTAGTTACCTCTTCCCAGTGTCCTTCCCTTCCATGCACTCTCACTCCCCCCACCAGCTATCTCTCTGTGCATATACTGCCCTTCTGTTCTCCCATGATTGATTGCTCCATGTATCTACCTGATGTAAAGGTTCAGCCCGTAAGCTTGTCTATTATTTGGCTGGAAGCCAGATGAGTGGGTTCAATTCCAGACCTAGGCCTTCTCCCTTTTTGCTAACCCTCCACTTTACCAACCATGATATCTTTCCCCAGGGAATGATCCCTTCTGACAACATGACCAAAATAGATGGATGAAGTCTATTTAGCTGTTCTGGCTTCCAAGGAACATTCCGGCTACACTTCTTTCAGGACAGATTTGTTTGTTCTTTTGGCAGTCCCTGGTACCAGTATTCTTCAACAGCACCACAATTCAAAGGCATCAACCCTTCTTTGGTCTTCCTTAGTCATTGTCCAGCTTTCATATGCATATGAGATTGAAAATAACATGGATTGGGTTAGGTGCACCTTAGTCTTCAAGGTGACATCTTTGCTCTTAAACATTTTAAAGAGGTCTTTTGCAGCAGTTTTGCCTAGTTTAATATGACATCTGAGTTCTTGACTGCTGTTTCAATGGGTGCTGATTGTGCATCCAAGTAAAATGAAAAAGGGAGATACTTAAGATGATGAAAAACTGTTCCTTACGATGCATTAATGATCTTGCCTGAATCATTTAGTACTGTTATGGTTAGCAAATGATGATTTTCTAAGTCCATTTTTCTTTCTACATTTATTAGTTGGCTTTCCACTATGAAGAAGACATTTACTTTTCTTCTTTATTTGCTTTTTTGTTAGAGTAGATTCATGGATTCCATAGGTTATAATCCTTTGCTGTTATTACCTGGTCCCTTCAAGCTGGCTCCTTGATCCTTTTGCTATGTCCCACATTATTCATTGTCACAAAGGGTATTCTAGGTTATCTTAAACTTTCTCTGCCCCAGCCCTAGAATAGCCATTTCTCTTAGAAGTCTGAGTTGCTCCTAGTAGAGAATGGTATTAGAAATTAGCATTTGGGCATGAAATTTGTTCATTGCCATTGAAGTATCATTGCTTGTAGGCCCTTTCAGTGGACAGAGCTAGGTAGGATACTGCAAAAAAGGCAAGGAGGCCACATGTTCTGACCTCCTCTAATCCCACAAGAAGAAGACAGAATCACCATTAATAGCCCAAGGCCTATTCCTGCGAGGCCAGACATGTTGCCTCCCTCTAGCCCTTTCTCCAACTGTTCCTCCCAAAGCACCCACAACCTCTCTCCTGGGTTCGATAATTCGCTGCAGTGGCCACATAGAACTCACAGATTATGGGGTTTATTAGGGAAGCACCAGGCTACCATTCAAGTTCAGGAGAAATGCTCAGTCTCTCCCCCAGCCCACCATCTCTCAGCCAAGTCTCTCACAGTCTCTCCTCCAGCAGTGCATGTCCCTCAGTGTCTTACTCAGCAATGCATGTCTCCTGCGTTTCTTTCCCAGTAGCACATGTCTCTCAGGAGCGCCTGTCTCTTTCAGCAGCACATATTCCTCAACCAGCAGTCAGAGAGATTTCTGCCTCTAGGAGGTCTCCTTTTGAGCCCGACAGAGTGGCCAAATGAGCCAATCATAGCATCAGAACTCTAAGCACCTGAGAGAGAGAGAGTGGGAACCTCCCAGAACATTGTTTTGTGCCACTCTCAACAGAAGTACTCCAGGTGGACAACTTTAGCAATCAGGAGCTCCTCAGTTGCTCACAGCAAATCCCACCTCAGAGTTTACAAAGACTTATGCGTAGAAAAGCCACACTAAGTAATTTACTACACCACAGATACATATAAATTTATTTACATATCCATAAATACCGAAATCTACCTATAAATGTATTTAAAACTATGCATGTAGTGTACACTGACACTTCCAGTTCTAATTTTTTACCATGCAGTATATTCCATTCTGCCTTTCTATAATTATACCCTTTTTCTCCAATACTGAGAATTCTGGCCTCATTATTCCTTTTTTTTTTTTTTTTTTTTATCCTTAATATTTTAACTTAGTCCTTCTGTGTATAATCAGTCTTCCCATAATATGGGCTATTTGCCTGGGCTCAATGATGTACTAAGAGTTCCCTGCAGGTTCCCATGCTCCCAGCTGAGGGCTCACATCCACCTACCCCCCTTCCAGCCTGGTGCCAGCCTGCTTTCTTTTCCCTCTACTTTTAATGTTGATTAGTTTCAAAGATACTCAGTCAGAGAAAGAATTAAAGATAATAGTAAAACTTATCTTGAAAATCGAAATCACTTCAACTATGAGGACCTGGTTCATAGGATGTCAAAAATAGCCAGTAATCACCTTAAAAATATGTTGTTTGTGTGTTTTAGCTGGTGCCTCCATGATTTCTCTGAAGCAGTGGAGGTGTGATTTGCAAAAAAGGGGAAAAGACGGCAGTGAGTAAGGGGTAAATTTAGGGATTTCTTTCTCTTTTCAGTCAGTGTCAACTTGAAATAAGGATGCAGTTCTGCTATGTGGTATGAGAAACTTCAGTTAAGTTGTTTGCTTTCATAAATAGAGAATTCAGTTAGAAAATATGTCAATACTTGATAAAAATGTTCCTAAATGGTATTAGGATTTCTTTTCTTAGCATTTTCATCAGAAGACCTTTCTGTTTTCAAAGTCTTATGGTGTCAGCATTGTGAAATCAATTATCACTGTGCAATTATAATATTAAGAGATTGGGTTAAAAGTTTTGTTGTTTTTCGTAAATTCCTAAAGTTGGGTAATTTTCTAGCAAATAGCACAAGAAACTTCTGTTGGCATGCAGAAGTCATGGCAGGAACAAAATTGAAGTATCTACTATTCTAATTAAAGTTTATTATAACATTTGACTTGCACTATATATATATATATGTGTGTGTGTGTATGTATATGGGAGCTCTAGTAGCGTAGTGCCTAAAGCACTTGACTGCTAACCAGAAGGCTGGAGGTTCAAACCCACCAGCCACTCCTTAGAAGGAAGATGGGGCAATCTACTTCTGTAGTGATACTGCCTC